CAGGAGTTACTGAACACAGTTGGGTGTGGTCTCCAAACTAAATAAACATAACAAGATAAACAGCCTTATATCTCATGTTCCAGAAATTGTATTTATTTATTTATTATTTTTTTGGCTTTTTGGGTCACACCTGGTGATGCACAGGGGTTACTCCTGGCTCATGTACTCAGGAATTACTCCTGGCGGTAGCTCAGGGGACCATATGGGATGCTGGGAATCAAACCCGGGTCGGTTGCGTGCAAGGCAAACACCCTACCTGCTGTGCTATCACTCCAGCCCCGAAATTGTATTTATTATTTCTGAGGCACAATTCTTGTGGCTAGAGTGATAGTACAACGTGATAGTACAAGGGCTGTTCTTGCAAGGGGCTGACCCAGGTTCGATCCCCAACATCTCATATGGTCCCCTGAGCCTTTTAGGAATGATTTGGGTGCAGTCAGGAGTAATCGCTGAACACCACTGCCCCCCAAAAAAGATCCAGGCCTCATACTTTTAAAATATCTACGGCTGACTTGATTTACTGCCAGAGTTGAACCACTAGAACAACTACCTCCCACCCACTCCCATTTATTTTGACAAACACGGACTAATAATGATTTTTTTTATCTTTAGTTCTCTTTTCATACTGTTAACTGAACCTGGAACATCACTTTCTCTCAGCTCTTTATTTAAATATCCATCACTTCTCTAAGACTAACTGCAACTGCGCCACTATCAGATACTGACCTACTAACGATTCTAAGATTAATTTATTAATTTTTTGGCAGCTAATTACATTATTTATACTGTTTTTTTTAACCATACCTTGTAATATGGGTTTTCAGAAGGAAAGAAAACTTGTCATAACTTTCTCACTTTCTGGCCCCTAGTATTTATGAAAGTATTAAGCATAAAGTAGATATTTACTCATGAGCTCAAAGCTTATGATGACTGAACAAATTAAATTCTCTGAATTTATGAAGTGTTTTTCTTACAACCTGACAACATAACCTGTCAACCTCCAAGGCTGTTTATGCGCACAGTGATGTGTTTTGCACAGGAAACATCACTGAGCCTATGTAAAAATGATAATTACTTGTCCACAAAAACTGATGTGATGTCAAATGTAGGACTGGTGTTGATAAATCTATTTTTTCCCCCTACAGACCTAAGTATGTTCTATGTTTAAAGTGCTAAGTGCCATAAATTTGTGGAACACCAAAGAGTTAAGTTGTAAAACTTTCCTCCTGTGTTACCAATGACCTACAAGTGATTCAGCATGTGAGAGAACAGCTGAAGCCCTATTTACCATCCTGATCTACTCTGGGGAGGATCAGAAGAGCAACTGTTCCCTTGCCCTCAATTTAGAAGACATGATATTATCAGTAACCTACAGGTAAATGTCTCATATACATATTAAACACAAAACAGCTACGAATATGAGAGTCTTCACCATGTTTATCCACTGGCAGAGTGTTCCAGCTCATATACTCCTGCTCAAAGTTGCCAAGAAATTTACTGTTCTCTTTCTAGGGTCTGGAAGATGTGTGCCTATATCCGAAGCTAGAATTTATTTACAGAATACTTTTATATGCTGACTGTCTGTAAAGTAACTCTGGTACATATGAGTTAGTCTTGAGAGATTGTTGAGAAACTATTATTTATCATACTGTTTTTATAGAAGAAATGAATTCCAAACAACAGAATGAAACAGTTGAACTTTTGTACTCTTCTTTACATTTTACTTAGTAAATTAGGAACTGACTGTATCTTGTTAATTACACAACGGTCAATATTTTCTTAGAAGATGGAAATCTGGAAATCTGCTAGGAACGCAAAACAGGAATGAAGAATTGTTATACATACAGTTTCTGTGTGCCTCTTGTAGGATAACGCTGTTTTTGTTGTTCCTGCATAGCCTCAGGTAGTTTAGGTTTATTGGGTTGCTCCCATCACAGTACTCCCATTCCTCTGTGTTTATTTGTAACTTCTTTCTTTGTGCTCTGTTGACTTGTAAATATTAGTTTTCTCTTCTCCCTAAGTCCTTTGCATATTTTATTCAGAATAATGTCCTTTTTGTATAAATACAAGATGACAGTATATGCTATGCTTTTGTAATGTGACTCTCAGTGATATTTTCCTCCTGGGCATCTGTTCTCTCAACCTAAGCCTGAGCTGCCCTTACTTCTTAGCACTCCCCAAAATCAGGGTCCTGATGCAGGGTCCTGATGAGGGACTGGATGGAACCAGGGCAAGCGGTAAGCTATGTGCTACCCTGGCATTGACATGAGCCTGGCCAAAGTACCATAATGCTTAACTGTAAGTTAAGAGCTTGGTCATGGACAAATGCTGCCATGATCTAAAAAGTAATAGCTAGACTCAGACCCTGATAGAGTTAGGAATGATTCATCTGGCCTGAGAGCTGTAGTCTGAGTCTGTAGCAAGATGTTCCAAGGAGAGCTGCCCTACAAGCCTCTGTGTATGTCTTACTGTGTCCATACTAATATTAAGATGTTGATAGAGGGACAGACATAGAAAGTTTGCATTCATCTGGGGAACATAACATAACAAAATAGGAGACTTACACCTAAGAATAGCCGAGATAAGTACCAGGAGGTTTACTTCATGGCTTGGAGGCTAGCCACACATGTTAGGGGAAAAGGCAGCTCAGATAGAGAGGGGAGCACCAAGTAAAGGGTGTTGGGAGGATCCTCCCAGGATGAGAGATACATGCTGAAAGTAGACTATAGACAAAACATGATTGCCACTCAATGCCTCTTTTCCAAACCACAGCACCCTAAAGGAGAAAGAGAACAAAAGGGAATGCTCTGCCACAGAGGCAGGGTGGGATGGGGGGATGGGGAATGGGAGGGATAGTGGGATCAGTGGTGGTAGAGAATGGGCACTGGTGGAGGGATGGGTGTTGGATCATTGTATAACTGAAACCCAAGCACAAAAATTTGTAAGTCTACAACTGTACCTCATGGTGTTTCACTAATAAAAATTTTTTTAAAAAAAAGCCACTGTAGGAAACAAATAAAATCAGATAAATAGATAATTGGGAGGGAAAAAAGATGTTGATAGAGTTATTAGACTGAGGAAAGGAGAAAAACACCTTAAGAGGTATTTTGCCTGAGGCAATCAGGAAGAGCTTTGGAATACCTCTTAGGTGGTGTTCCCTTTGAACTTGGTGGGCCCTTAGGAAGGGCTTTCTTATGTTGATCTGGCTACCAGACTGGGTGCTGCGGAGTTGGGGAGGCAAGAGAGCTGGGGAGAGAGTGCGAGAGCACAGGGCAGCATGATGGAGTGCAGAGAGACTAGGGAGGAGAACCAAGAGAGAAGGATGTAGAAGAATACAGGAGCAGACTCGTAGAGAGAGTGCCCAGGCTGCAAGATGGAGTGTGGAGAGATGAGCGGGAGAGACAGGAGACACAAATGAGGGGAGTGTGAGACTAAAATGGGAGGCTCAGAGAGACTGGGGCAGGCTCCTGGGGAGAATGGAATAAAAGGCAACCGATTAACCAACCAGCTTGGCCCTCTTTGTCCACCCTCTGCCCTATGACCCAGGCCATTCTGGCTGGGGGAGTGGCCCAGGCCCACCAAGCAGCTAGGGGAAGAGCTGTCACCCCACCACCCCTTGAGAGTTTATATACCTCTCAATGAAAAAATGGGTTAGGGAGGGAGGAATGATGGGAGAAAAAGCCAGACACATTCTTTTTGTTTCATTTTCTTTTTAGTTTTGGGGTCACACCTGGCTGTGCAAGGGTTTACTCCTGGCTTTGTACTCAGGGATGACTCCTGATAGGCTCTGAAGACCATACATGATGCCAGGGAAAGAACCTGGGTTTGCTAATACAAGGCAAATGACTCACCCACTGTACTATTACACTGGCCCTAACCAAGCACATCATTAATTTATTGAACAAGTATTTACTAAGCATTATTAAAGGCTATGCCAATATCTGTGAAAGCCAAAAATAAGTCAGACAATATCTTTTTACTATAGATTGTCTTCATGGCATAGGATTAGAGATAAGATAGCCATAATCACAAATAATAAACTTGCATGGTAAAATGTGTTATAATAATGGCAATAATGAAATAGTCTTATGGGAACTATCAAGAGGGATAAGGAAATCTTGGCAGAGCTAGTACTTGGGCTAAAACCTGGGGTACTGCCATAGGATTTCAACAGACAAAAAAGAAAGAAAGAAAGAAAGAAAGAAAGAAAGAAAGAAAGAAAGAAAGAAAGAAAGCGAGCAGGAGGCAACAGAGAAAAACATCAAGAAAAGCAGTAAAAGTTAAGATACAAAACAATGAAGGACAATAACAATAAAGGCTTAAAGCACATAAAAGAGTTCAGCTGACCAAAGTAGGGGATATTTTTAGGGGTTGAGTAGAAGGCTTTGTATGTGAGGCAAAGAAGTACAGATTCACAAAGCAGTGAAAAGAATTACTAGAGGGTTTAAAAATTGTTAGAGTAATTCAACTGGTAGATTTTTCTGGCATAAAATATCAGATGGAAGAAGAGAATAAAGAGGTTGGTGAAGATGATATTTAAAACTAAGAATAGTTTTGAATAAATAATTATGGTTCAAGTGCTAGTTAATTACTGAATATCTCTCTTTAACAATAAGGATCATATAAATCATTAGAATGGTTATGAAAATATTCAAAACAAAAAAATTAAGTATTTGCTACAATGGAAAAATTCTGAAAGCATTCTTTGGCACATAGTGAGAATTTGATGACCATACTTGATATAATGAAAGGATAACTTTGTAGACTACTTTCAGTTTTCAAATTACTTTCAGCTTTCAAATATCATGATTTTTAGCATTGTTTTTATTAAGAACATGAATTTAATAATAAATCACCTTTCCACTGTTTTCCAATAATAGTGATGATTTAAGACATTCTAAGAAACCCGAGAGCACAGATACTATCAAAGCTAAAGGACTTAATTCTTTATATTTTAAACCAATCTCTACTGGAACCAAGATGGGTAATAGCCGACTTACCTGAAGTAAACTGACTTCAGCAATTTCTTCTAAACTTCAAATTTTCAATATTGGACAGTCCATGGCATTCATTTTTATCTGAAAACCAACATAATGGGAGCAATGAAACAGAAAAATTGGTAAGTAGCTTTTGAAGACAGATGATTACACCTCAAAAACCATAGTATAGAAAACCCTATAAAATTTATATTATTTATACTACATAGAAAAACCTTTATTTTAAATCTATGTGTTTATACCTGAAGAGAATTTAATATAGGTTCTACAAAGTTAGTACTTTCCTTATTGAGTAAGGTCCAGACTCAGCAGTCCTCCAAGCCTAATGATTCAGTACTCAACCAGGAAGTGCTGGGGAACACCAGGACACTACATTGATATGCAGTGAGAAGATGGTATCAGATGCCATGAGTCAAACTCAGAACTTTGCACAAGGTAAGCATATGCTCTATAAATTAACTGTCTGGACTTGCCTTTTCACCTAGTCTGAAGATCTCTGCCTTTATAGAGTGAATTTGCTTCATTTACACTTAATGTTATTACTTATTTTATTTTATTTTATTTGTTTTGGCTTTTTGGGTAACACCTGGCGATGCACAGGGATTACTCCTGGCTCTGCACTCAGGAATTACCCCTGGCAGTGCTCAGGGGACCATATGGGATGCTGGAAATCGAACCCAGGTTGGTTGTGTGCAAGGCAAACGCCCTACCTGCTGTGCTACTGCTCTAGCCCCAATGTTATTATTTAAATAGTTGAATTTGAATTAGTCATCATTGTATTTTATGTCTATCCAAATCTGCTACTTGTTGGCTTTTCCTTTTCTGTCTCATCTTATCTGGAACTAAATAGTGTTTGGTCTTTACTTCTAACTCATGGATTACTTATCAGACATGTACCTTGTTTCTTTTGTAGATTTACGAGGTTGTTCTACTGTTTCAATTATACAATTATACAATGGCCAACACAGCTGACCCAAGTTCGATTCCTCCGCCCCTCTCAGAGAGCCTGGATAGCTACCAAGAGTATCTCGCTTACACGGCAAAGCCTGGCAAGCTACCCGTGACGTATTCGATATGCCAAATGCAGTAACAATTTCACAATGTTACTGGGCCAGCTTGAGCAAAATTGATGAACAACGGGAGGATAGTGACAGTGACAGTGACAACTCTAACTTATGATGCAAATTTATCATACCACTTCACTTGTAAGAGTTTTATAATAGAATAAACCTATTTCCATAAGAATAATCTTGTCTTTTTACTATTGTCATCATGGCTTACCTATGGTAAGATGGAGAAGTCAGGTGTTGGCCAGGTGTAAGCACACCTGTTAACAGTCCCAGCTAAGATCATCTCCAAAAGATCCTTCTCATAGTACCAGAAATGTGAGAAAATCAATCCATACTACAGCTGAATGCCACGAAGTGACCTCAACTGAAGTTGAATGAAGAATAACTACTAGCCAAGTTGGACCTTCTCACTGACACACCAAAGTAAAATATTGTAGCACTGTCATCCTATTGTTTATCAATTTGCTCAAGTGGGCACCAGCAACATCTCCATTGTGAGACTTGTTACTGTTTTTGGTATATCGATTACATCACAGGGAGCTTGCCAGGCTTTGCCGTGCAGGCAGGATGCTCTCGGTAGCTTGCCAGGCTCTCTGAGAGGGACGGAGGAATAGAACCCAGGTCGGCAGCATGCAAGGCAAATACCCTACCCACTGTGCTATCACTCCAGCCCAAAATATTTATTTTTATTAGTTAGACACTATGAAGTGCAATTGTAGACTTACAAACTTTCGTGTTTGTTTCAATTACACAATGATCAAGCACCCATCCCACCACCAGTGCCCATTCTCCACCAATAAACCCAGTTGCCCTCCCACCCACCTCAATCACCCCCACCCCACCCCACCTCTATGACAGGGTATTCCCTTTTGCTTCTCTCTTTCTTTTACGGTGTTGTTGTTTGCAATAGAGGTATTGAGTGGCCATCAAGTTTGGTCTATAGTCTATTTCCAACACATGTATCACATCCCGAGCGAGTCCTCCAAACACCCTTTACTTGGTGTTCCCTTCTCTATCTGAGCTACGTTTTCCCCCAGCATGTGCTGCCAGCTTCCAAGCCGTGAAGCAGACCTCCTGGTACTAATCTCAACTATTCTTGGGTGTTCATCTCCCATTCTGTTACTTTATATTCTATGTCTGTCCCTCTATTTCTGACTCATTTCACTCAGCATGATATTTTTCATGTAGAAACACTTGTTTGCAAATTTAATGACTTCATCCTTTCTAACTGCTGCATAGTATTCCATTCTGTAGATGTACCAAAGTTTTTTTAACCAGTCATCTGTTCTCGTGCGCTCGGGGTTTTTTTTTTTTTTCCAGATTTTGGCTAATGTGAGCAGTGTAGCAATGAACATACAAGTGCAGATATCATTTCGACTAAACTTTTTGCCTCTCTGAGATATATTCCCAGGAGTGGTATTGCTGGGTCTAATGGGAGCTATATTTCTAAGTTTTGGGAAATTGTCCACACTGTTTTCCAAAAGGGCTGAACCAGTCGGTATTCCCACCAGCAGTGAAGGAGGGTCCCTTTCTCGCCACATCCGTGCCAACACCGGTTGCTTTTGTTCTTTTGGATGTGGACCAGTCTCTGTGATGTGAGATGATATCTCACTGCTGTTTTGATCTGCATCTCCTGATGATTAGTGATGTAGAGAATTTTCTCATGTGCCTTTTAGCCATTCAAATTTCTTCTTTGAGAAAGTTCCTGTTCATTTTATCACCCCATTTTTTGATGCAGTTGGATGTTTTCTTCTGTGAAGTTCAACCAGTGCTTTGTATATCCTTAGTATCATCCCCTTATCAGATGGGTATTGGGTGAATATCCTTTCCCATTCAGTAGATTGTCTCTGTATTTTGGTCACTGTATCTTCTGTGGTACAGAAGCTTCTTAGTTTAATATTTATCTCTGTTTCCACTTGGTTAGTTAGTGGTGTGTCATCTTTGAAAATATCATTAGCCTCAATATTGAGGAGGGTTTTGTTGACCTTGTCTTCAAAGTACTTTACGGATTCTGGTCTGATGTTGAGGTCTTCAATCCATTTTGATCTGATTTTTGTGAATGGTGTTAGGTTGAGGTCTAAGCCCATTCTTTTGCATGTGGTTGCCCAGTTATGCCAGTACCATTTGTTAAAGAGGCTTTCCTTGTTCCACTTCACATTTCTTGCTCCCTTATCAAAAACTGGATGTTCATACATTTGGGGTTGTGGGTAGGGATATTCCACTCTGTTCCATTGATCTGTGCCTCTGCCTTTGTTCCAGTACCATGCTGTTTTGTTACTGCTTTGTAGCAGAGGTTGAGGTTGGGGAAGGTGATGCCTCCCATCATCTTTTTCCCAAAAATTGCCTCAGCTATTCATGAGTGTTTGTTGTTTCAAATGAATTTCAGGAGTGCTCGATCCAATTCTTGGAAGAATTTCATGGGTATCCTTATAGGGATCAAACTAAATGTGTATAGTGACTTGGGGAGTATTGCCATTTTGACAATGTTAATTCCTCCTATCCATGAGCAGGAGATATGTTTCCATTTCCTCATGTCCTCTTTTATTTCATGAAGTAGCGTTTTGTAGTTTTCTTTGTAGAGGTCCTTTAACTCCTTAGGCTGATTCCGAGGTACTTGATTTTCTGGGGCACGATTGTGAACGGAATTGCTTTTTTCATGTCACTTTCCTCTGTCTCATAGGAAGGCCATGCTTTTTCAAGTGTTGATTTTATAGCCTGCAACTTTACTGTACAAGTCTATTGTTTTTAGGAGTTTCTTGGTAGAGGCTTTATGATTCTCTAGATATAGTATCATATCATTTGCAAATAGTGAGAGCTTGATTTCTTCCTTTCCTATCTGGATGCCCTTAACATCTTTTACTTGCCTAACTGCTATTGCAAGCACTTCCAGTACTATATTGAACAGAAGTGGGCATCCTTTTCTTGTCCCTGATCTTAGAGGGAAGGTCCTTAGTTTTTCCCTATTGAGGATAATGCTTGCCAAAGGTTTGTCATAGATGGCTTTGACTATCTTGAGGAAAGTTCCTTCTAAGCCCATTTTGGTAAGAGTTTTTATCATAAACATGTGTTGGATCTTATCAAATTCTTTCTCTGCAACTATTGATATATTCATGTTTTTTATCTTTACTTTTGTTAATATGATGGACTACGTTAATTGATTTCCAAATGTTAAACCATCCTTGCATCCCTGCGATGAATCCCACGTGGTCGTGGTATATGATATTTTTGATGATCTGTTGGATTCTATTTGCTAATATTTCATTGAAGATCTTCGCATCTGTATTCATGAGATATATTGGCCTATAATTTTCTTTGGTAGTGGTGTCTTTGTTTGCTTTTGGTATTAGGGAGATATGTGGCTCATCGAAACTGTTTGGGAAAGTTCCTGTTTTTCAATTTCCTGGAAAAGCTTAAGGAGAACTGGCAACAGGTTCTCTTTAAATGTTTGGAAGAATTCACTAGTGATTCCACCTGGGCCCGGGCTTTTGTTTTTGGGAAGACTTTTGATTACAGTTTCAATTTCCTTGATATGAATGGGTCTATTCAGGTATTCCAAGTCTTCTTAGCTCAGTCTTGGGAAGATTGTAGAAATCTAGGAATTTATCCATTTCTTCGAGGTTCTATTGTTTTGTGGCATATAGACTTTCAAAGTAGTCTCTGATGATCTTTTGAATTTCATTAGTTTCTGTTGTGATGTCCCCGTTTTCATTTCTGATTTGGTTATTAGGGTTTTTTCTCTCTCTTTCTTTGTGAGTCTTGCTAGCAGTTTATCAATCTTGTTTATTTTCTCAAAAAACCAGCTCTTGGTTTCACTGACCTTTTGGATTGTTTTTGGGTTTTCATGACATTAATTTCTGCTCTGTCACTGTCACTGTCCTCCCATTGTTATTGATTTTCTCAAGTGGGCCTAGTAATGTCTCCATCGTGAGACTTTGTTGTCACTGTGTTTGGCATATCGAATATGTCATGGGTAGCTTGAGAGGCTTTGCCATGAGGGTGAGATACTCCAGT